AAGCCTGTGCCCACGAGTGTTCATGAGCGCACACACACACACACACACACACAAGCTGTGAAAGCACAAGACTGTGTCTCCAGGTGCACGTGTGGACCCAAGCCAGGCTGGTGCTGCCCAGTCTTTTCTTCTCCTCATGTGGACCACCTCCACAGCTGCCTGTGTAGTCCCTGGATGGTCCTGCTTGTTGACAAGATGCTAGGACCATTACCTTGAGTTCATTTTGAATTTAATTTCGGTGGCACTTCTTTCCCTTTTCATGTTTAAAAGAGTCTTGCCTCATTTCAGTTTTATTTTTTTCTCACCTCGCTGTGAACCATCCCCTCCTCCTGGTGGCCTCCTCAGTCACCGTGTGGAGCCCAGATGTGTGTGCCTTGCTCCTTCAGACCAAACAGGAGCTTGGCCTCCCAAGGGCCAGGCCAGATTAAAGGCGGGGGACTCTCTCACAGTTTGGTGCGAGCTGCATCAGCCTCTCTATAGAAACTAATTTCAGATCCACCTGACTTTCCTCAGCGGGGAGAAGAGTAACACAGCAGAAAGCAATCTGAGGAAGGCCTTTCAGGCTTTAAAGTTGCTCTGTATGATTTACTCATAAATTTCGACGTTGGAGGCTGGAAGGATGGCTCAGCAGCTAAGAGTGCCTGTTGCTCTTACAGGGGACTAGAGTCCAGTTCCCAGCACTCACAGTGACTCAAGCTCCAGGGGATCTGATACCCTGTCCTGGCCTTCTCTCCAACATGCATATGTACATACACACACACATACATGCACATAAATAACAAAATGTATCCTTAAAAATAAACAGAGGCTGCAGGGATGGCTCAGTGGTTAAGAGCACGAGCTGCTCTTCCAGAGGTCCTGAGTTCAATTCCCAGCAACTACACGGTAGCTCACACCCATCTGTATTGGAATCTGATTCCTTCCTCTGGTGTGCATGAAAACAGAGCACTCATACATACATACATAAATAAATATTAAAACACCAATAAACACATTGCTGGAATCAGTAAACTCATGGCTATTGTCCTATATGCACTGTCCTACAATCTGGTGACCTCCCAGTTTGGGGAGACAGCACACAGCTAGGCGGGCCAACGAGTTGTAAAGGTAAGCTGGGTTTGGATCCAAGGCCAACTGTACACAGGGGTCACCTGGTGACATGTGTGACCAGCTTCTTCCACAACCCTCTTCCTCGCTTCTAAAAGGAGTCTGCTGAGAGTTTCAAGTACGTCAGTGCCCAGGCTGAGAGAGCAGATTAGTCGAGCGCCTGTCTAGGGCATATCCAGTGCTGTCAGTCACCTGCCAGGCTGGCAGCTCACTGCCTTCCATGAGGACCAGGCTTCCCCAGGTCACCTACCCAGGACACTGCTCAGTTCATCCTCCTGGGTCTTTTCCCGAAGCCCTTTAATTATTACAGATGGTCCTCTAAATGGCCCCCGTTTAAATTCGGGGGTTATAATGACATTAACATCCCATAGAAAGCGACTGAGTTCAAGTTGGGTGTGATTATACAGGCCCGTCATCCCAGCTGAGACAGGAGGATCAAGGATTAGGCCATGGGGTAGAGAGATGACTCAGCTGTAAAGGCAGTTGCTGCTTTACCATAGGACCTGGGTTTGGTTCCTAGAACCCCCTGGGAGGCTCATATATGTCCTGGGCTGGAGAGATGGTTCAGTGGTTAAGAGCACTGATTGCTCTTCCAGGTTCAATTTCCAGCACCCACATGGCAGTTCACAACCGTCTGTAATTTCAGTTCCAGGGGACCCAACACTCTCACATGCAGGAAAAACACCAATGCACATAAAATAAAAATAAACAAATTATTAAAAACAAACATATATATATATATCTTATCAATGAAGCTTCGTTTTGCAGAGGGTAGAAACCATTACAGAAATCCACAACTGGTCCAAATGCAGAGAACAACTGACCAGCCCCAATGGATATATGTACAATTCAACTCCTTCGGCTAAGGCTCAGGCAGCATCACAGAAGAGAGACTGTACCAGCCAGAGGCCCAGGACATCTGTCGCAAGATTATTTCTTCTGTATCTGACAAGGAAGCTTCACCCATGAAGTCTCAAAAATATGGTTACCTAAACAAGACCCAAACAATGACACCAGTGGACATACCAACACAAGTGGGGGAAATCTCACAAGGCCCCACCCCTAGAGCCATAGGTAACTAATAGGTGCTGAGAGTGGGGTGGTAGAGCGTTAGCCTTCCACATTATGTGTCCATTTTTCTAGTTGCTTCTATTAAACATCCGGAGTTAGCTGAAGCCTTCAGCGACCCTTCCCTTCCTGGCAGAACCATATGCTTTTCTGGGAGAGCGGAGCATGTACAGAACCAGTGTCAAAGTCAGCCTGGTCAACGATTTCCCCCCCCCCCCCTTTGTTTTGAGACAGTCTCTACAGAGCCCTGGCTGTCCTGGGACTCAAAGAGATCTACCTGCCTCTGCCTTCCAAGTGCTGAGATTAAAGGCGTGTGCCAGTTGTCAGCAAACCAAGAGAACGCCACTCATATTGACCTTAACTTTACTTCCCTGACCATCTTCCCATGGGTCCTCTTTCTGGTCTCTGAAGCTACCTGTGACAAAGAAAGACCATGCAATGTGAATATTGAACTATTGTCTTAGCTCTGGTGGCTATCACAGACTACCACAGGCTGGGTTGTTTAAATAGCAGAAATCTGTTTTCCCCTGGTTCATAAAGTCAAAGTAAGAGATCATGGAGCCAGCACAGCATGTCCTAGGGATGGAGACAGCCACACACACTCCTTCCATGTACCCACATGTAGAGGGAGGGATAGCAAGAACTCCCCCAAGACTCCTCTGATGAGGATAGTCATCATGACCTCAGAACCTCACCTAAACCCAGTCACCTCCCACACACCTCCAAACCCCACTGTATTGAGATTTCCACCAAGATGATAAAGGTGGTGATTGTCTTTGACAGCTGCCTGTTTCTACCACAAATCGAGAAATCCACCTTTCCTGAACTGTGTGTAAGGCTTATTTTTGTTTTGAAATAGCTCGATGGAGCTGGACTCTACTATAGTCAAAGGCCCATGTGTCCACTCCAGCCAATGCGGTTGGTAAGTAAATGAAACTCTCAGCCAAGGTCAGCCATCTGGCAGACTGCCCTTCTCCCAATATGGGTAGCAAACCAAAAATGAGTTGCTCCTTGAGCCTGTGTGTGAGGCAGTCTTTCAGGAGAGCATGGCTCAGCACTGTTTGCCGCTGTGCAGAGTGGAAAGAATGTGTCTAAGTATGTTGCCTCCCATTCTGGCCATAGCTTTCCAGCAGAGAAGTTCAAAACACAACACGCTAAGTTAGTAAGGTTATTTCAGCTGCGTATAGTGGCTCACAGCTACAATCATAGCATTTGGGGAGCCGAGACAGGAGGATTACAAATGTGAAGTCAATCCAGGATAGGTAGCAAGCCCCTATTTAAAAAAAAAAAAAAAAAGGTCAAAATTACTACAACCATCTGCGGTCAAAGAAAATATTCTCAGCAGCAATCATTCTATACTAATCATGACTATACTCCAAGCAGTTGGTTCCAGAATGTTTTCGTGCGAGCCCCTCCAGGACCATATTTATCTGTCTATCTGTCTATCTGTTTGGTTTTGTTTTGAGACAGGTTTTCTCTGTGTAGCCTTGGCTATGCGGGAACTTAACTTGTAGACCAAGCTGGCCTTAAACTCTGAGATCCATCTGTCTCTGCCACCCTGAGTGAAATAAATGAAAGAGTACCCTGTGCCATCACGTGGCTTTATGAAGACCTTTTAAACAGAGGTTATTGTACCTCTAGGAAGAAGTGGCTTGGGAAGGTGAAAGCCCTGCCCGAACCACCTATTAGGGAATAAGGTCAAAAGGCAAACTCAGATTTCTTTCCCCAGAACCGGGCTTGTACGTCGCCATGATCAGCCTATAACTTAAAGCTCAGCAAGTAAAACTGAAATACCATTGGCCCAGTGCAGCCCCGACATGTATGCTCAGTCCACCCTGGCTCCCGAGATCCTTCAGTCTTTAATATCCAAACCTTGGCCCTCTGACTGCATGGAGGGACTCCTCAGCATGGTATCACACTTAGCTGAAGGGAATGGAAATACACAGAAGAGCAGGGACGGAGTGAGAGTTACAGGCAGTTCTGAGCTGCCTGATGTGGGTGCTGGGAACTGATCTAGTGGCCTCCTGGAAAAGCAGCAAGTTCTCCTAACTGCTGGGTGTTTCTCCATCCCCAACAAGGTTTCCTAAATTGCTTGCACTGTGATTTTACAGAATTAAAAAAAAAAAAAAGAATAATTTTCTTTCACTTCAAACAATTGCTTCCAGTTGGTAATTGCTGCGGTTTGAATATAACCTCTCCCCCATGGACTTTCATGCCTTACATCCTCATTCCCTAGCTGCTGGCTTTACCCAGGAGACTGTGAATCTTATGAGAAAGTAATGTCTGGCTGTTGGAAGTATGTTCCCCAGGGGTGGGCCTTTGAAGGTTTCCCTGGGTCCAGCTGATTTTGGCTTCCTGTTCTGCCATGATGGGAGCCACCTCACTATAAGTTCTTACAGGCATGAGTGCCAAGCCCTTCCCACCAGGGTGGACCGAGAGCCACAGTTAGCGTGTATTCTGTTCCACTGTGTCCAGTGTTTTGGTCATAGTGACGTAGAAGCAACTCACAGTTACCTTGCTCACCTCCCCTCTACAAGTGGTTTCAATCCCATGGTTCTTCTCCCAAGATGCCCCAGGAACGCAGGGAATCAAGACTGCTCTTTTTTCCTCAAATGAAATTAGGTAGGTGATGTAAAAACACTGCTTTTCATATAATAAGAATTTCAAAACACAGGCCACATGAATTACTTTCTTAAATGGTTGTTTTACTGCTAACTAAAAACAACAGGGGGGAAAAAACCTTGAAATGTGGTAGATATGAAACACAATAGAAATTAAAATTTTGCATTGAAAAATGCATTTTTCATCCCCTGAGGAACTCTTACCTGTGTCTCCTGGCGTGCCCCACTGTCCTGATCGGCGCTGACTGGCTTCCCGGTTTCCTGTTTCCTGGAAGCAGCTGGCAGCCAGGGCCTGGGATTCATCACTGGGGAGAGAGACTGGAGGGTTAGCAACAGCTAAATCTGTAATTGTATAAATATCCATTACCCTAGGTAAAAATAAATAAATAAAAGTGTGAATTCATGTAGAGATAGGCTGCTGAATGCTGAAAATCCAGCTGTTTTTGAGCAGACTGTTCCTTTGGGCATAAAACTGGAAATTTCCAGGCCTTTCACCTATGCGAGATTTATTTTTTAATTTCAGCATTCGCTTATATGATTGGTATATGTAAGTGGTAATCGGTATTTTTATTTACAGAGCTAGGTGAGGCATTCTACACCCGAATCCCCAGTACCCAGGAAGCTTAGGAGGAAAGGAACAAGTTTAAGAGACGCCAAAGACACCGCATAGAGAGACCTTGTCTCAAAAAAAAAAATAAAATAAAATAAAAATAAAAAGCTTGACGTGATAGAGAAGGGGTTGGTAACAGTCAACAGTCTGCAATTCTGAGGTCAGTCTGGGCAACATGCCTCAAAATATTTTCCTTGTTGTTGTTTGTTTTGTTTTGTTTTTTTTGTTGTTGTTGTTTTTTAAGGGGGAGCTGAGGATGTCTCTCAATGGTAGAACACTTGTCCAGCATGCTTGTGAGTCTGGGTTCAACTGAAAGCACCAGAGGCAATTTAAAAAAAAAAAAAAAAAAAAAAAGGAGGGGCGGGAGAGATGGCTCAGAGGTTAAGAACACTGGCTGTTCTTCCAAGGTCCTGAGTTCAATTCCCAGCAACCACATGGTGGCTCATGACATCTATAGTGAGGTCTGGTGCCCTCTTCTGGTGCACAGGCACACATGCAGGCAGAATGCTGTATGAATATAAATATTTTCTAAAAAAGGTGCCACTGCTGTCTGTGTATTTGTGTGTGTGTGGACATGTATATAGGTACATGTAAAGACCAAAGGTCAACATCAGGTCTGCCTCAATCGCTCTCCACCTTCCTTTTTAAACTAGGGTCTCTCAGTGCCCAGAAGCTTACCTGGCTGGGCACTGCCAGAACGCTGTGGATCCTGTCTCCTTGGTGTGGGGATTATGTGTCCTGCTCCACACATGACTTTTACATGGACACTAGAGATTAAACTCAGGGTCTCATGTTTGCATGGCGGGCACTTCATTGGCTGAGCCAACTCCCCAACCCCACACTGCTTTTTTTTTTTTTTTTTTTTTTTTTAAATATAAGCAATCACTAAGGGGCAAGAACAGCTTTGGCAGCAGACAACACTTCTAAGCTGACCTTGAAAATTGCGCATTTTACCTTCACACAAAAGGTGTCTTCAACAATGGAAACAGTTTGTGTTCTCTAACTCCTACAAACTGTTGAAACCCTTTACCCAAGTCACATGGCTCTTCCCGTGGCTTTCTGTATCCACTCAAAAAGATGTACAGCCTATGAGTTCCCCCAGACTTCAGTCCTGATGGCACACAGATAGAGAGCTCACTGTGAAAAGCAACCCCACCTTGCCTGACCTGGACCACCTTCCTGGAGCTTCCTGGAGCAGTCTTGGGGCCGGTAGGGTACTGCACCCATTTGTCACATATATGCACACTCGGTTCTTAGCAAGAAATAAATAGTCAATAGCTATCAAAATGAATTTTTTCACTCTAGTGAAAGAGGCGGGAAGCCCTGACAAATTCCAGGGGGAAAACTCTGTAATATTCCTTAGTGGGACCCAGGAGAGCCAACTCTCTGATGACTCAACACCTGAAAGGAAAACATCGCCCAGGTTAACACAGTTTTCCTGGTGCTCATTTCATCACCAAAGTCTTTGTTGGGTTAATAAAATGATTAGAAATCAACACAGCTTTAAAACCTCTAACCACAGCTGTCTTGAGAGCTCAACCCGGCAGAACAGACCGCTTATTGCTTCCTATAACTGCCTGCTAAAAGTAACAGAAATCCCCAATGAGGAGAAAAAAGAAATATACAAACACTTTAATTTTATCTTCTGGAGCTTCTCTTTAATTTCCTCTCCAGGAGTTTTCTCCTGAACCAGCTTCCAGAAATCCTCATAGTCGCTCATGTTCTTCAAGATTCCACGTTTTATCAGCTCATTTTGCAAGCCTATAATCTTATTTTCAAAGAGAATGGGTATATAGATAAATACATACTCTGGAATGACATTTTTGTTTTGTTTTGAGATTTTGTAGTTTTTTTGAGGCAGGGTCTCTCTGTGTAACAGTCCTGGCTATCCTGGAACTCACTCTGTAGACCAGGCTGGTCTCAAACTCACAGAGATCCACCTGCCTCTGTTTCCTGAGTGCTGGGATTAAAGGCGTGTGCCGGCTCCAGAATTTTTAAAAGGGAGACTGTATATCAGAAGATGAGTGAAAACATAATCCTGTTTTTCTAAACATCAGGGCATAACTTCTGGAAAACGTTGGCTTACCTCAGCTCAGGCTTACTGTCAGGAGAGACACAAGAATTAAAATGACCCATCACACTTCTTAAGTTTTTCTGTCCCCAAATTCTATGCATTCATTTACATTTCAAATGATTGGAGGGACCCATCAGAAGGCAGGCAGTCTGATTTCTTCCTTTTTAAAAAAAAGCTAATTAGTAGTAGCCTGACGTTAACACTAGGGGATTCTTGGACGGGAGGAGGGAGAGTGGAGGAAGGGAGCTTCTAACATTGCCAGGCCTGTGTGACCACCACCCTCTACCCTAATTGCCACACAGCAATATGCTTTTTGCTGTGAGGCACAATACGCTTGCCGATTCAGCAGGACTCTCCCTCTCTGCAATATAGCTCTGCTTTGTAGATACAGGGGTCGGTCCATCTCTGCCACCACTCCTAAAAGAGCCTCCACGCATGGAGGAACAGCTGCCTCCAACACTGGCTTGGGGAGAGGCATCCCAGGGACTTAGAACTTGAGAGAGGCCGGTTTGTGAAAAGGCAAAGGTACTCATTTACATATTCTCCGCGGCTTTTATATGCGATTCTGGAACCTAGCAACTAAGCCCACAGTTGTTTGGTAAAAGGGCCTTTCTGAGGTCACTTTCCGTGCAGACATTGACAGCTGGGCTTACTGGCGCAGCCTCGGGTAAGTGAATTTCTTCTGGAAACTGGCAGAGTCAGAGCTTAGCCCGAATTCATGACACCTGGCACTGAGAGGTTTGGTCTGATCTGCGAGGGGGGATTTGGGGAGAGGATTGGGCAGGCCCTCGTGCAAAACAACATGGCCTGGGATTTAACAAATCCAAGAGTAAAATAAAATCGGCCGCGCAACTGCTACTCCAGCTAGGGGTCAGTTGGTGTTCTTTAAGTCTGTTTTGGTTGATCAAAATGCTGTTTACAATCCACAGACCCTACCCCACCCCAGAGTCCAGTTTCTAACGCAGAAATGGGAAGCGGGTTAAGCTGCTTTTCTGTGGAGACTGTGGACTACCTCAGATTCAGGCAGCGACTCTCTAGAGGAAGAACTCTTACCCCCTCTACAGGAAGTGCTTAAAGGACCAGGGGGAATCCCTCAAGCCTTAGAGCCAGGCCCAGAGGACCAGGCCTGTGTACAGTTTGAATGTGGAGGGTCTCTCTCCTGGCTCCTGAGCAAGTGACTGGTGGTTGTCCCTGATGGGTGGCCTTGTGGCAAAGGCCTGCCTGGCACAGCAGGGGACCGGGTCCTCCTTTCCTGAGCCTTTGGAGTGCTCAGTGTGCTCCCTCTCAGAGGACTACGTGCTTGGGGTACTCTCTTACCAGGTAGGCGTTGGACCTTGGAGGGAATGCGCTTGAGGCCTTGGGCGGGGATGCTGACTTGGCCTCAGGCTGTGGCTGCAAACAAGCAAAGAGAAGTGGTGAGCAAGGGGAGCAGTGGCCAGGAACAAAGCCTCGGGCAAAGGAGAAGTAAACAAGCAGCCACAGGAAGCCATTAAGCAGAGTGAGCGCTAATGAGAGCGCCGCGGGGCCCTGCGCACCGGCCCCCTGCCAAAACCACCGGGGACTGCCTTGTCCGGCAATTTGGAGCCCAGAGCCCCGCTGGCAGGCCATAAACCTGTTTGTAGTCTCCATCGGTTTCCCCTTCAAGTTTGTGTCCTTAGGGGTGAGTAGGAAGGACCTTCGGTTGCTGTGATCTCTTCTCAGGACCCGCAGTGGCAGGGGGCAGATGGGCTCCCAACTCCAAGGTAAAGGACTGCCTGCTGCCCCCACCCCCAACCCTGCTCCTGCATACACACACCTTTGCTGGCCAGGGTGGGAGAGCAGGGGTGTTAAACCCACTTTCCAGAGTCTTTTGAAACAGTTTCTCCTTTTAAAAGAGGTCATTTGACTTCCCTAATGTTCCTCAGGGTCTCTCCGAGTTGTAAACCCCCGCTTCCAAGTTGCTTGGACAAGAGTAGCGGCTTGTCTAAGAGACTTCGTAATGCTTGCCGCCGAGCTGGCGTTCTTCCGCCGCAGGGGTGGGTCCCAGCTCCTACGAAGCTGTCTGACCTCTTACAGACACTGTCCGATGACCGGCGGACACGGATCCTCAGGGACGCTGGTCCTCGCACCTTCTTGCCCTTGCAGCAGCGACACCCAGTGGCCATCCCTCGCACATGCCATTCCCGGTCCCGGGTACCCAGAGCCTTGGGCCACCTCCCAGGTCCTTCTCCAGGTCATTTCCCCAGACCACACACAGAGAGGGGCTTAGGAATTCCCAGCCTCTTAAGCCTTGGCATCTTAGATGGTTCAGGAAGTGTGTGGGAAAACCAGCTGAGAGTCAGTTTCAGGATGGCTCTAGATGTTTGTGCAGATGCTCTCTTAGCATCGCCTAAAACTTGTTTATGATCCTCGAAGGGGAGACGAGGATGTATCATATAAGTAGATCGTCATAAATACCTTACTCCAATTTAAAGAGCCACGGCAAGTCACTTTAAACAAGCCGGTAGGAAATGTAGTAAAGGGTGGGTGCCTTCCTACTAATCCAGTCTGCCTTCTCCTGGGGTCTCTAAGTGAGCGTGTGCTCACATGCCTCCGCTTTCACATTCCTGTCAATTCATTTTGCTCAACAAAAATAAATCCAAATATATTTTCATTTGTATATTTCATGTGCCGTGCACTGAACAGCCTATTACCAGTTTGGAATGGAGTTACTGACACATTGACTTTAACTGAACTAGAACCGGAAACACAGGAATTTAATACAGGACACACACACACACACACACACACACACACACACACACACACACACATTTCTGGTCCTGAATCTACAATTTCTCCTTTCCTTGGATTTAATGCTTTCTTCAGCCCCTAATGCAGCTAGGAGATACATTTCCTAATAATTTTACTTAAAACATCACAGTACTAGTGTGTGGCTTGTAATAAATAAGTCAAAGTGCTCAGAAATCTTAAAACATCACAGATTACCCACTTCATCCCATGCAGAGTAACCATAGTAGAGTAACCATACTCTCCCATTGTCTGTTCCACTGAATATTACCCTTGACTGTGAAAGGAACATACCTATTAACCACCACCCAAGAGAAAGGTGTGTACCCCATTTCCCCCATCTCTTCTCTTTGGATCCATCGTTTTACAGGTCCCGTTCATTGTGAGGGCCCTCTCAGAACAATGCATGGCTTCCAGAGAGACTCCTTCTTATACAAATCTCAGGTCTCCTGGGAGATTTTCCTTTATTTTTTGAGGAGGAACTCACTCATACCAATTTCCCAGAATGCTCCACATCAGACACTCAACCTAAAGAGAAATTCAGTAGCCTGGCGGTTTGTTGACTTATGTCTGTGATCAGAATTTTTTATTTACTTATTTATTTTTAATTTTATTTTTTTCTTATCAGTTTGTGATCAGAATTTTTAAAGCTGCTACACTTTATCCCTTAATTCACTTCCAGGGCTCACACCTGAGAGTGAAGTTAAGGCCATCCACAGGGTGATGGAAATTCAATTACTGAGGGAAATTTCAAATCTCAGCTGTTATAAATTATGGTATCTACATGCTATATTTTTATAAACTAAAATCTGCAATACAAAGTTTTGCTTGTTCAATCTATATTTGTTTGGGGGGGTAGTTTGGAGGGTGTTTGTTTGTCTGTCTTCAAGACAGGGCTTTCTTGTGTAGTCCCAGCTGTCCTGTAAACCAGCCTTGAACTCAGAGACTAGCCTGCCTCTGCCTCTTGAGTGCTGGGATTAAAGGTGTGTGCTGACTCTTTCAATATTTTAAGAAAATATTTCCCATAGGAACACAGAAAACACTGTAACTATAAAAAAAAGTTTAAAGATCCTTTTAGGCTGCAGTAAATTGTGCAAAACTTGGGAAAAGCTAGAAAAGTGGCTGGAGAGGAAGGCAGAAAGGCAGAGGATGGGTCTGGAGAGATGTTAGGCCACAGAGAGGCTAGGTGTGTTTCGTCTTTCAGACTCGCCCACCACAGGCAGCTCAGAACCCTCCAGCTCCAGGAGATCCAACACCCTCTTCTGGCCACAAGGCACCATAGGTTCACACACTCGCAACAACACACTCACACATGAATAAATATAAAATCTTTTTTAAATGCTAGGAATCTAAAGGGCGCTTCTGTGATACTGGGTAGATGTATGTGTTCTTTAGCTTGCCCATAAAGAGGGCATACTTGGTGATTTACTGCAGACTTAACTCGAACTCTGACCCCTAACTGGACCTCCAGCTAAGGTTAGAGGTGAAGATGTCTTTCCAACATAAAGACATCTCCACAGGCTATAGTTCAAGGCCGTGTAGGATGATAACCTGTTTTACGTTATTGGCAAGCCCATCTATTGACCACGCAAATCTTCATACACCAACTCCTTTTCTCATTTTCATTAGTTCTTTGAAAATCTTGTACAAGCATTTGGATGATATTTACCCTTCCTCCAATGTCTTTCAAATTATCCCCTCCCCTTTTTAACTACCCAACTTTCTGTTTGTTTTTTTTTTTCTTTTGCATGTGTGTTTTGTTTTAACTCATCAAGTACGGTGTATGCTGCTCATACACTCTTAGATGATGGCCTTCACTGGACAGTGGCCCACCCACCGGAGGCCACACTCTTAGAGAAAATTGACTCTCCCTCTCCAAGCAGCTATCAACTGCCAATAGCCCTTAACCAAGGATGGGAGGGACTGCATGCCTCCTCAGTGTTGTGGTTTCCTCTTCTCCTCAATGCTGTAGTTTCTTCTGGCCTGAGTGAGTCTTGTGCACACTGTCTCAACTGCTGTGAATTCATGTGTGCAACTGCCCTGCCACGCCCAGAAAACATTGTTTTCTCGTAGTCATCGACCACCAACGGCTTCTACAATCCTTCCATCCCCTCTTCCCTGGGTGGAAGGGTCTTGATGTGGATGTCCCACTTAGGGTTAAGCCTTTCAAAGTTTCTTAGTCTCTGCACATTGGCCAGTAGTGGGTCTCTGTGTTAATTGTCATCTACTACTGATAAAGGCTTCTGTCGTGAGAGCTGACCAATGCACTAATCTATGGGTATAATAATACATCAGTAGGACTCAATTAAATACTTCGTCCCTGGGGGCCTATGACCTGTCTAGCCACAGGTTCTTGGCTCCAATAAGGAGACCAGATAATGGATTTCAGTTGGTGGAATAGGCCTTAAATCCAATCAGAAAACCATTGCTCACTCCCAAAACATTTGTGCCAGTATTGCAACAGGTGGTCATGTCTTGCCAGGCCAGTCATTACTACAGCTCACAGCTAAGATTACTTTTCTCGTCTGTTAGTGTGCATAGCATCTTCCAGCTATAAACGCTATCCAGGAGAGATGAAGCTTCTAAGATAGTACCAGCATGGTTTCTCCATGTCTTTTTTTTTTAAAGATGTATTTTATGTATACGAGTGTTTGCTTGCATGTGTATCTGTATACCACAAATACACAATGCCTTCGGATGTCAGACAGGGCTTCAGATCCCCTGGAGCTGGAGGCTTAATGAGTCACCATGTAGATGCTGGGAATTGAAGTTGGGTTCACCGGAAGAGCATGGTGCTTTTAACCACTGAGCTATCTCTCCCATCCCTTTCTATGGTCTATGACTTAATTATGCAAGAAGGTCTTACTGTCAAGTTCTGGAGGATGAATAAGCATTGGCCTGGCCTGTAATGATTGTGTCCTAGAGCATTGGCCTAGCCTGTAATGTTTGTGGGTCTAGGACCTCAATGGGCAACAACTCCACAGGAAAGTCAATATTAACATCTAACTTATCCTTTTGGCAACTACTTTGTTGAATCAAATCCTTGCCATGCATACTTTTTTTAGATTTATTCCTTTTACCTTGTGTATGAATATTTTGCCTGCCTGCATGCATATGTATTACATGTGTGTCTGTTGGATCTCCTGGAACTGCAGTTAGAGATGGTTGTGAGATGACATACAAATGCTGGGACTCAAACCCAAGTTCTTTGCAAGAGCAACGACTTGCTCTTACTCTCTGAGCCATCTCTCCAGTGTCTGCCATGTTTATTTTCCATTTGTGTGGGAACTGTTTTCTTGCTTCGTGAGCAGTGACAATTGGAGATACTAGAACTGCAGAATGTTTTCATGTCTCAGTCTGTTCTTTCTACTTCCTCACCCTTGGGCTCTCTTATAGGTGCTGCATCGGAAAGCCAGTGAAGCCAGCGCCCTGCAGCCCAGCCTCTGCAGCAGTCATAAAGTAGTCTGTCACTATTACAATGTACACAGTGCTGTTGATGTGAATAGAGAACATTCTTTGAGAATTTTCTCAACAAGTTGTGTAGTCAGGTTTGTACAGTAGTATCAATTCAATTGTCAGAATTTATCACCACATTTACTGTTTTGTTTGTTGTGGTTTTTGGT